CCCCCCCCTTTTTCCTATTTCTCACCAGACCTCTTTTGGTTCCTCTTTTCCCCCTTACTCAATAACTATTGGCAGCCCTCAGACCTAGGACCTCTCATCATATCCATGTTTTTGGAATTTACTACTCATTAAATCTCGATTACTCTATATGAATGACTTCCAGATTTCATATCGTCCTCTCCCAAACCATCAATAGCCATGGACTTGGAATGGGCATCTTATTGCAAAGGTATGTTTGAGAAAACATACCTCAAATTTCCATGCCAAAGACTAGGCTTATCCCTCTCCCAACTTTTTTTTCTTTTTTAAGTAGACTCCACAGCTGGCGTGGAGCCCAATGCAGAGCCTTGAAATAATGACCCTGAGATCAAGACCTGAGCGGAGATCAAGAGTCGCACTCTTAATTGACTGAGCCACTGAGGTGCCCCACTTTCTTAACTTTTTAATTTCTTCCCATTTTCAGTTTCCTGGGCAGTCTTCTGCCCAATCACAGATGCCCTTTTCTTCTCAATACTTGAATTCAGATACATTTCTTTTGTTCATTCATATATTAATTCAACAAGTACTTCTCAGCTGCCCACCATGTGTCAGTAATTGTGCTAGGCCTCAAAGTACAAAGATAAGTTGGGCTTGAGGAGATCAGTCTTATGGTGGTGGCACACAGGCATAGAAAGATTATAATATGATAGGGTAAATACTGTAATAGAAGCTTCCACGCAAAGACCCCACTAGAATACAGTAACAAATGCAAAGTGCTATAGGAGTTGGGGGAAGATTTCTGACAACATGTAACATCTTAACTGTCTTTTAGGACAAACAGTTCAGCCAGGTTGCAAGGTGGGAGAGCTGGGGGAGAGAGAACGAAAATAGAGGGAGTTTGTGCTAAGTCTCAGAGGTATGAAAGGACACGGCAAGTAGGATATGGTGGTAGGTGAGAAGTTCAAGTGTGACTGGGGTGTGGAGGAAAAGCATGAAGGCCAGCGCTCTCCAACACAACTTCCTGCAGTGATGGAAATGGTCTAAATCTGTGCTGTCCAATAAAGTAGCCACTAATCACATACGGCTATTGAACACCTGTAACGTGGCTAGTAAGACTGAGGAGCTGAATTTAAATTTTATTTCATTTTATTTAATTTACATTTAAATAGCAAGCAGCTACCTTACTGAACAACATTGGTTTTGGCACTGGATAAAGGACAGGACTTTAGCTCTAGGAAACACTGAAGGTTTAAAAAAATTTTTTTTAATGTTTATTTTTGAGAGAGAGACACACAGAGTGCGAGTGGGGGAGGGTCAGAGAGAGAGGGAGACACAAAATCTGAAGCGAGCTCCAGGCTCTGAGCTGTCAGCACAGAGCCTGATG